CATGAGTCGTAAACCGTCGTTTGCAGGGCGTCTTCTTCAATACAACTTAAGCCGACAGGACGGTTCTCCAGTGCAGCCGACTGAAGTGCCAACATTGTGAACCGACAACTGTTTTAACACGCGCCCGGGTGGCGAGTTGGATACCCTTCGCCCAGGTGGGGATCAATTTGACCCACTGAGATCTCAAGAACTAAGGCAAGCTAAAGACGCCAAATTCACAGAGTGTATTGACCTGTACGTGAACTCACTTAGGTCAAAGTTTGAGATTTCTAGGTTATGATCTCCGGGTCAAATAAGGTCAAGGAAGGCGTAACTATGGGTTGGCCTCCAAAGAGCCTCTAGGACCTAGACAACTATTCTAAGAAAAAGTTCACTTGCTCATTTAAGGTTCATGGCCTTGTTTGACCTTTCGAAGGTCATGGTGACCAAAATCATGCAAGACTGCTTCAAGTTTTGCATTTGAATAAGCGGCAAAGTTCACGCTGGGCAGTATGTTCCTAAAAACAAAATATTGACCTGGATAATTTCAGGACAGTGCCCCATTCTGATCTTTAAGAGGTCCATGGAAAGTGTATAATGCGGCTCATGTTATCAATAAATTCGAAATATGCACCAGAAACTACCCCTACAGAAAGACCTAGAGTAATAAAACAGATGAGTTTGACCTTGGTCTAACCTTTATACCTTACCCTAGGTCAATGTAATTTGTTCAGTCAATTATTGTGTTGCCTAAGAAAGTATCTCAGAGATGTATGGCTTCGTCTAACACTCCGTTTTTGAACCAGATTGAACGATTCCCTAGAAATTGCCCTTGCTGTAACTATGGCCTGACTTTGACCTGCCATAAGTCAGTGACCTTAAAAGATAAATCTGAATTGTTAATGCCAGACGATCCATTATTCAATTATCTACAGCTATGCAGAATTTGGCAAGGCTACATTGCGCCGTTCAGAAACCATTCTGGAAAAACCTTCAGGAGGTCAATTTCACCCCCACCCGAGCGCGTGTTAACTTATTCGTGGTCAGCTCGGGCAGTCAGGACTTAGCAAACTGTAATGCCGATGACGTTAGACGCAGACATTTCTCCCGTTCCACACTATCCCACCATCACAACAGCAATGTGCGCGCGTGGTGTCCACTCATTTCTGGACTTCTCCATCGCTGGCTTTGCTCGCGGCATGACTGAGGACCGATCAACCGACCTGTCAATGTTTTGTCATCAGCTGATTCGGCTGTCTGCGTCACTGTTGTTAAGCCCGATCAAGCTCTTACGGAAGTCTGACTCACTTGGCTCTGATTGATCGAGATATCGGCATTTCAACATCGAAACCCCACATATGCTATCCTTACCTTTGAACTCACAAACGTCATGTGGATGCTGCCAGTAAACCTTTTTCAACAGCCCCAGCCACACCATTGCATCAGTGACCGCCTTAGACCGCCTAAAACCCAACTTAGCACCTCATGGTGCGTCATTTGGGCTGCATGATACACTCAGCTGCTGAGACTACATGGCGCCACCTGTTCTCTCACCCCAACAGGAAGGGCAGACACCGTGAGGAATTGAACCTCGTACCTCTGGTTCCCCAGACACACGGCTTAACCGCTACACCATCACCTCATCACCACACTCCGCGCATTCCGCGCAGCGTGTCCTCGGTACCAGGCATGTTTACCTGATCCGTGCACCGGAGCCGGGGACCCGCCGCGGACCGAGGCCGGAGGTCACGACCTGTGCCGTGCGTCTCATCCCCTCCATTAGCCGGCCAGACGGATTCGATGTGCTGATACTGTGGCCGGCCTCGGGTTACATCAGCTCACGAAATGTGATTAGGTGGACGAAGGGTTGGCTGTTTGTCGTCAGTGGTCCGCGCCCTGGTCCGCCTGTCAGCCTGGTGGTCGTCAGTGGTCCGTGCCTTGGTCCGCCCGTCAGTCTGGTGGTCTCCGCCTGCCGCTCACGTGCTAAGACTGATTTCAGAGCAGGAACGATGAGCCATGTCAGCGATCAGTGTTTGCAGGAGCGCGGAAGGCGAGATAGCTAGGCAGTGTGGTCGCAGGGTCTCACAGGGTAGGAATGCAATCATATCTACTTCCCGTGAGACATGATGACATTACAGTTGCGATTACAGTTAAAGCACAGTCCTTGTTCACGAGGGATGGTTTTACCCAATGCGCAGCAGTGTTAATCGCAACATCCGCTTAATTGGCATATCTAAGCCTTAAGCGCGTGTTGTCAGTCATCACTCGCATCTTCCATGCGCACTGGTGAATTGAACACTCTTTTCAACGATTCATGGGACAACAGACCACCTTGTGCTGTGGCTTAGTTTGCGACTGAATAGCTTCACGCCCACGCGGTTTACGAAACAGTATATCATGTTTGTCTCGCGCCGCATGCTGCATCGGACAGCCCTGGCCATTTGTCATTACATGCGATAGCAGCTGTCTGTTGGTTGCCGTCGCCACAGAGCCGAGACAACTGTAAACATGACGGAGCGGCCTAGAGCGTTGCCCTGACGTCTCACCGCCCTGTTCGCAGGTGGCCCGAGGTTGGCCGCGCATCATGACTGACCGGAAGCCAACGGCCAGTCCGCTGCGTCACCGTGGCTCCTCCGAATCGCGCTCAAGCAAGACGGACTCGGGCTACTTCACTAAGGACGAGGAGGCCGCCGAATCGGAGGTGGAGGAGACAGCGGCCGCCGCGCGTCCCGGGCTCTTCGAGCAGCAGGAGCAGGGCAACCGGCCAGCGGAACAGGCGTGCGCCTCCTCCGGCCACGGCGACCGAAAGACGGACCATGACAGCTCCGGAGTCTCCAACGCAAACAGCGCAGGCGTCCAGCCCGCTCGCGACAGTGTCGCCGCCTCAGCGCGTCCGAAAAGGGGTTCGACGCCTGGCTCCGCGCTCCACTCGGCCACCCTCAAGAGCAAGAGCGGCAGCAGCGCCCCGAAGACGGCGGCCAGCAAGGTAGTGAAGCGGGTGTCGAAACGTGGCGCGTCGCGAGAGCCCAAGCACCCAGCGGAGGCCGTAGCCCCCGAGGCGCCTGCAGCGAACCGTTTGCCGGCTGCCGGTCCGGCGGCAGCTCCGGCGACGAAAAGAACTAACCGGGCCGGCGCCGTCCCGTCGCGTGCGCGGGGGCGTCCTGCCGCTGCTGCTGAAAGCGGTCTGCCTCGCCCGTTGAGACACAACGGGACCGTGCACAGAGACACACCGTGTGTGTCACGACGTGCTTCAGTCACGAGTGAGGTCAGTTTAAGCGGGGAGAGACGCATCCCCGCCGCTCGTAGTGTGCAGTCCCGGATTTCCGCCGTCTTGGAGACTGGGGGCGAGCGCGCCGGTGCCAACGCGGTGCAGGCGCATGAAAAAGAACGCTCCGTTGCTTCACGCCTGGACGCTGACGATTTCGAGGCGTCTGATGTTACACGAACCTCCGTGGCACACAGCACCGCACCTTCCTGGCAACTTCAATCCGTGGCACTTCGAGAACTACAACGCAAGCCTGCCGTTAGATCCGCGTCTACAGTCAGTGCAAAAACAAAGCCCAAGCCTATCGCCAGCTCCGCAGAGGCAGCTCTCCCGCCACTGCGCAGGGGCAGCACCCGCAGGACAAAGCCAGATCCCGCGACGGGAATCGGCGGGTTCCGCACCGCCAGGTCCTCCCAGGCACCCGCGCCAGCAGGTGGTCGGCGTGCCTCTATGGTGGAGAGGCAGCCACCGCGCCAAACTCCCCTTGTAAAGCAGGTGAGTGAACAGAATATACCGGACAGGGTAGAGCGGCTTCAGCTGCCCGCGCCGTTAAGACGGCCACCCTCAACGGACGGCAGTGTGTCCCAGCGTCATGGCCCGCGGTCACGACTGATGTCCAACCTCGCGCGCCAGCACATGTCCTTCGGACCAAAGCGGTTAGGCGGCAGGCGCCTGGCGAAAGTCCCCCAAGGTGGGGGGAAGGCGATCAAAGCACGGTCCTCAGGCCATCCGACGAAGTCAGACGCCCGTGAAGCCAAGAACGACTTCAGGGAGCCCGCAGAGCACGAACGCGAGCAACCCGGTCCAGTCTCCCCGCCTGCCGCCCGTCGGTCGTGGGGCTCGACGAATGACAAGCGGACGAACGCTACGGCGAAGGCCGAGCGACTGCGATCGGCCATAGCGCAAAGGTTGCCGGACCGGGGGCCCCGTCACCCGAGCGAGCTCAGGCAGCCGGTGCAGCGGCGCTTCTCAACCCCCGGGCCGGCGGTTAATCGGGAGCCATCACACCGCCGGCGGGGGCGCAGCCAGCGGCACTCGGCGTCGGACTCGCTGGAAGAGCAGGGTTTGCTGCACCAGGAGGAGGCGACCCACCAAAACGAGACGTCTTGGCCGGTAGGGAACTACCGGTGCCGAAAATCTAGTCCGGAGCCCGAGAGCACGTGGGAGCCTCCGCATGAGGGACGTGGCAGGCAGCTGCAGCCGACTACGGAGCCGCCAGACAAGCAAGCATTAGCGCACTGCGAGGAGTCAGTTCACCAGCACGGAGGTCATAGTTGTACACAGTCGATCCCCGAAATACCGGACGACGAGACGTCGTCACACCATGCAGAGTCGGAGCACGACGAGGTGTCGTCGTGTCGTCGGGAACTCGCAGAGTCGTCGAACAACGACGAAAGCGCTGTCAGAAGCAAATCATGTGCAGAAGCACTTCAGCTTTGGGACGAATGTTAAGGAATCGCACCACCAGCGGCATGCGGAGCAAGAAACGCAGGAGCCCGGCCTGGCGTCAGCAGAACCCTCCCGACGCCGCTCTCCCTCGCAATCGTCCGACGAGAACCCTCTGGACCTCCGGGTTGAGATCAGAAAGCGCCTCCCGCCCGAGGGCTGCAGCGACGCCTCGGAGGAGGTTGAAGGGTCCTTACCGCCGTCACCGGCGACGGCAGCGGCAGCGACGGAGGTGGCGGCGGCGGCGGCGGCTGGACCGCCCCTCGATGACGTCACGGCTGGAACCGAGCGCGGCCGGCCGGCCTCGCCGTCCGCCAGTGTCGCTGGCGGTGAAAGTGCGAGCGCAGGCGCTGGACGCGCCGCTCCTGTCCGTCGTAAGAATGGCCGCGTGTACACGGCGCGGCAGCTGAGACAGCTGCGTGCAGCCCGTGGCCAGCTGCCGGCGCGTGTGCGCCGGCCCGGCCAGCTTCCCGTCAACGCGGAGTACGTCGACGACTTAGACGGCCCTGATTCGGCCGCGGATTCAGGTACGTCACTGGGCGCTTGCGCGTGTGAGTGCCGGGCTGGTTAGGCAGAAGGGCTTATGTGAAGAGTTTGGCGACGTTAAGCTTGTTCTTTTATTATTTATGCACCACGGCGGTTGACAAAATTATGGATCAGTGAGTTCGTCGGATGATTTTGGTCGTGTTCTCTGCTGAGCCCCCTAAAATCTGGAGGCGCCCTTCGTGCATAGAAGCATGCGATTGAAAGAAAATCAGTTACATTATTTTCGCCCAGTGCTAATGCAGGGCCTGTAGTTATCGATGTGAAGCGCACCCAAGATGACAATTAGGCATTTAACTGAGACATTTATAACATATTGCTGCACAGGTTTTATTTACTTCGTTTTGACAAAAAGCCCACGTCGTTGCTGATATGGCTTGAGGTGCCTTGTTGCTCAATGAGTAACAGTAGACAGCTAAAAACCGTACAAAAACATCAGTTTTGTCACCAATTCGAATGAGGGTCGAGTGCCGTCACTACTCATCATCCCAATGCATGCGCAAATAGGCCAACTAGTTATGATGTCTGGCGCTATCACTATGTTATGGCCAACTGGTTATGATGTCTGGCGCTATCACGCAACCAGCAATGCTATAACACAATCTGGACACATTCGAGTTATCTGCGGGTCAGCATGTTCAGAAGAGTATATCTGCCATGCGGCTACGTCAAACTGATGCTTAATAAAAAAGGGCGACTCTTAGCTCTCGCCCGCGGGATTTCGTAGAACGGTGGCCGCATCTGGCCGCTGACCGTACACCCGCCGGGAATCCATCCGTCTCTGCAGGAGCTTCTGCAGCCAGGGGTCACTCACTACCCAGATCAACCTCCTGTGCATGGGTGCATGCATTGGTGGTTCCTCTGTCGTAAGCTGGACGCTATGCATCGAGGCAAACTGTCTGTCGTCAGGACATCCGCTCGTAGATGGATGCACGGTCTGTAGTCGGGCGGGCCCTTAACAGCGAGACGGACTTGGTGTACTCCCTCGGACCGCCTGTGGTCGGGCGGACCCGCTGCCATCCGGCAGACCCTCCGCCCCATGTGGAGAGCCCCGTCCGTGCATGCAGAGCCGGCGCGCGGGTCCGGTCTGGCCGGCAGCCGGGCGCCTGTGGCTGGCCGGTCGGACGGGTTCCTCCGCTGGCCGGCCCGGTGACGCAGCACCCATGGGCGGCGGCGGCGGCGGCGGCGGCGGCCGGAGCGGTCGGCACGCGCGCGGCCGTGGCGGGCGGGCCACGGGCGGTGCGGTTCGGCCGCGGCGGCTGCCTTGGTCGACCGCTGGTGGTGGCTGAGCTGTGGGGAGGGAGACCGGCAAGCAGGAGATCGGCGCTGTCTGTACTGCTTCGTGCTGCACTGCCATGCTCGTGCGGGACGTTGTAACTTTTTGTGAAACGTAAAGCACAAAATTTGCAGGAGATACGCATCACAATGGCAAAAGAGCACGAGACCTTTCGCTGCTTATCTTGTCACGCCTTTCAGGTTTGCATCCGTTTCATGGTCGTTAATCTGTCGATATCACAATGCCGTATAACGCAACTTGACGTTGTGTATTTCGACATGCATGTACATTTGTGGCATTCTGGTAGATATTCGTACGTTTTGGTCCCCGGATAATACATTTATTTCATGATACGAAATTGCTACAGCAAAATATATATGTTACAGCATCGGACATCGCGTTCAGCGCTTTATTCTCAATTAATGCTTCCCAGATCCCAATGCCTTTATGTAAAACACCATGAGAACTTTGTATCATCCTCTCAGTCCCTGCTTCCAGTGCCCTGAGGGTAAACTGCATTTCTGTGTTTTGAATCACACTAATTCACGGAAGTACAGCGCCGAAGAATTGCCGCACGTAGTGTTCCTCATCAACTTCCACGAACCCTCCTCACTGATGCATCCGCCGACGGTGCAAAATTGTCGCCGACTCCCGTCACCGACACGTGAGTCACGTGTTTTTGCCGCTCCGCGCCGTCCGCGCGGAGACATGAGGCGGCTGGCGTGACTGGAGGGGCCCGCTGCACCCTGAGCCTCGGTAATCAGCGCGTCAGTGCTGCGCCGCCTGCCGCGCCTGCAGGCCCGGACCACCGAGACGAGCAGCACCGCACTCCTGATCGTCAGCCGCCTGTTGAAGCCATGTCCAAACACGTGACTGGAGCACTGACTCATGCGCTTCCCCTTGACACGCTGCGGTGATTTGTTGCCTCACGAACCGAGCGATGTGGCGCCCCTGTCATTTCGGCTCCGTTCCGTCGGGAGCATCGCGGCGGCACGGGCACGTGATATCCGCGCTGCTGATCATCGCAGTAGAAAGGCAACGGCGGCGAGAGGGAAAAAACAGGCATCACCAGTCTTGCGCCTGAATCCGGCTGACGTCACAATCTGCTCAGGAACCAACCAAATTCTTGCAGAGAGAAGAATCGCATTCTCTTACATTTTCTTGTCATTCAGAGTCGGACTTCGATCAGCCAACGAAGTTACCGGCCAAAAAGAATGTAAGTCAGAGGGTGTGTTCGTTGCCCTATAGATGCAATATGACAACCCATGCAGCAGTCATAATAACTATGCCATTATCAAGACAAAAGGTGTATTAGCGCCATTACGAAGCTTTTGGGGCGGGTTAATTAGCATTTCCATAAACAGTTCTCACCGTTATCAACTCGATTGGATTTGATCCCAGAATTAACCATATTCTTGAATCGGAATCGCAGTCAGATCATTGATCCACTCTGCTGTTAAAAGTGAGACTCGAATTTAACTCTACGGAATAAACTCGTCTGAAGGTGTGAGTCAGGACAGAGAACAATTCCACTGAGACGGGATTGGCCGAGGCTTGGTCATCGCTTCTCACGAACCCGTAATTCATCAACCGTACATTGGGAGACAAATGCCGAACACATTTCAAGCACGTGCAGGCCTAAGGTTCTGGTCACGTGGACTGCGCCGGCAACGTCGTGATGGCTGAGTTCGGAGGTTCCGGATCCCGCAATTAGGGCCTCATTATCGGTAGGCGGAGCTGCCTACGATGGCCCGTAGCTCTGCGACTGTCGCATGCTGGATGATAGTGATGGCGATAGCGACGTGGTCCCAAGGTATTTTCGCCCTTTTTTCTTACGATGGCAGCTTGTTACGTATCTGACGTCCATCTGGGTTTATAAAGATTGATATATAGCGGCCAGGATCACAGCACATAATCTTAAGCTTTTTAGAAATAACTGGTATGGGTAGCGGTGCGGGTACGTTTCGTGACGCCGCCTTTTGCATCCGGCTGTTATCTGGGGGTGCTGCGATTCATTTTCCGGCATGCCACCCTTGCGAGTGCTTAAATATACGCCGTCCGGTATAAATTACACCTGCTTCACGTGCAGATAGGCGCGCATGAATTCTAATGCTGAGCGAGCGCTTGCTGCATAAATGCATGTGAATGTGCAGTCGTAAGGGCCTTGCAACCATGACGTTTGCCTGTGTCAGAACTGGTGCGCGTAATACCTGAACTGAGTGGCATGTCCCGCTACCAGAAACCCGCTGTTGAAATGGGAGAATGCCCTCACGCACCTCCCGACCCACCCCCAAAACAGACAAACTGGAAGTAAAACAAGGCCTGACTTCCATTCGTACTGAAAGATATCCATACGGAGGCCTTCGCTGCCCCTTCCAGCCAATGGCACCTCGTTGGCTCTGGCGCCCCCGACCCCCCCCCCCCCCCCTCCCAGCCACGCGTCGTCCTCAGGACGGGCACGCGGCGCGCACTCCGATGTCCCGCTCTGCCAAATATGGCAGCAGTCACCGGGCCGATCAGGGGCCGGTGTGGGCGCCGGACGGGGCCATGTCCGCGGCGTCCTTGCAGCGGCGAGCCGAGCCTGACCCAGCGGCCGGCAGGCGCCCCCGTCCGGGCCTCCTCCCACCGTCACCGTCCCGGCCAGAATGCCTGATGAGGCGCGCCACCTTGACCCCGATTTGGGCACATTTTCTGGCCAAAGCGCCGCATCGCCGCATGATGGATCGCCATTAGGCGCGAGGTGCGAGCGTGGACGGCTGCGGCACGGCCGGTTAGCCGGGCGCCGCGTCTTCCGGTGACCTCTGGCGCTCGGAGGCCCCGGCTCGGGGTCACGGGGCCAATGTTACCGCCTGGGCGCCGGAAGACGCGCTCTGTACCGCTTCGACGCATGACAGAAATTCTCCTGTACGACTGTGCCGGCTGAGCATTTTGCAATGGTCTCCTGATCAGTGGTAAAGTGAACGGTGGAATGTGCTGTCGGCTGGCTTTGACTTCGCACCCGCTCGCGGGCTGCGTGTCTGATAATGCGGGCTGCCGTTCCTTAATTGTTTTTGTTTGGTGGAGCTTCCTATGCTGTGTTTTATATCTCGCGTCGTGCACGCAGAACAATCGCAATAAAGGCGAGAAAACTCAAAGCTCTAATAAAGGTTCTCGTCCGTGGAGTTACCAACAACTGACTAGGAATGCCCAAGTGAAGCCAGTGAAGTGACCAAAGCCACGCGCGGAGTGTATCTTGCCCTTGTGAAAGTTTAGAACGCCTCAGCATAACTACCGTAGAACGAAATTTCACAGATCGTTATCGCGTAAACATCCAAGATTTCTCTACACATCTGTGCAACTCATTGAACTAAGATCACCCCGTTTCCACGTGGCATGGTTTAGCGCCGCATGTTCCCCTCACGACGCTGATCGGACCCTCACCCCTCACAAGCAGTAGCTTTTTAGTCACCTGCCCCTCATGCCTGTTTAAGGGTGTGGCTGCGCACCTCAAAGGCTAGTTTAGAATGACTTCAACGACATGAACGTTTTGAAGACACTCGTTGATACGAGTGTCTTACGCCCGCCCTCACTGGTCGATTTGCTGTCAACATCGCCTTTCGAGAGTTGTTCTCTATGCGATGCAAACACCAGCAGCTATCACAGGGTACCAGACTTGAGAGAAATAGCACAGTTGTTTTGCAATTTAGATGCTAGAAATCTCCTCTTTACTAGCACAAGTGGCAACGAGAATAGGCCGTCGGTTTAGTCATATTTAGCTTGATTTGGCAGCCTGACCACGATTTCTGGCTACGGTGATGCGGTTGGGGGCTAGGATCAAAACAAGAACAGAAAATATACCGTGCTATTTTTATTGACGTGAATTTTCTTCATCCTCAATGTCAACGCAACTCATTATTTTGCTCAGTTGCCCCATAAAACATCATTGTCTGAGCTCTGAATCTCCTCTTATTAACTTCACTTGTTTATGAATGCAACGTCACGCATGCCATTGCTTCACATTCTAAAGGAAACAAGTACTCCATTAGTCCCATTTTTCTCCGTTTTGTTTGGTCCTGTTAACTGTATTAAATGCGCCCAAACAATGCTGTTTTTTGTTGCCGTGCTGTCGGCTCCGTCATTAACGTCTCCGATCTCGTGCGTTATCATGGCGCTGTAGACCTGGCACTTTGGACTGCGTGCCGACCTAACTGCGTGCCGACCGACCTAACCGTGAACCAGCCTCTTCAATCGTCTCTGACCGGCGTGCGCCCTGACCCAGCGCGCTGTCCGCAGCAGCCCTGACCTGGCCCGGCGCGCAGTCCGCAGCAGCACTGTACTGACCCGGCGCGCTGTCCGCAGCTTTTGGCCGCCGCCCGGCACTGAGCTCGATCGCCGAGCTCAGCTCCAGCTCGGAGTCGGACTTGGACGATCTGACCGAGGCGCTGCGCAACCCCACCACCAGCGCGTTCCACGAGATCCGCTCCGTGGTAGAGCGGCACGCGGGCGAAGAGGGCCGCCGCTGGCCGCTGACGCTCACCTCCCGGCTTGTGCCGGCGCTCTTCGAGTGTCTGCACGCGCTCACCTGCGGCGAGGAGGCCTGCGGCAAGGTTAACGTGCTGCTGCTGGAGCGCGAGTGCGTCACCACGCTCAAAGCCATCATGGACTCCACCATGGAGCTCGACTACATCGTCGAGAACAAGGACTACACCAGCAAACTCGCGCAAGGTAAGTCACGAGCCAGCTTGTCGTGTTGCGAGAAGCCGTCTTGGTTCGGGAGCGTGGGTCGATATTTATAGTTGCAGCGATCAATGTGTCAAAGATAGAAGATGAGCCCCCAGTATTTGTTTGGAACAGATTTTGCACAGATCTGTTGACGAAGTAGGTCAAGTTTACCGTGGCGCTGTTCGGTGAGGCCGCCTGCCAGGACGGGGACAGCCTGATACGCCAAGAGATCTGCGTCCGATCACTCCGTTGCCATCGAGACCCCTGGCGGGCAACGGACGCCGCTTGAGCAAACAAATCGATACGCTCGATAACAAACAACGCATGCGGTCTCGGCAGGCATTCAAGAGATAAACGATTGTTCTCCGACTCGTTTGTGGCCGACTGGTGGTCGCGGTCAGTGTAAAACACCGGAAGGGGTGCGTGTTTCGTTGTCATACTCACACGGCCTGTTCAGTACTGGCTTCGGACGATGCGTTCGCGGTGGTCGGATCGTCACTGGTTGGCTGTTACATTTAGGCAAAACACTCTTACGTAATATTTAGGCGCAGGTTTTTACATCTTTTAGCATGCGACCAGGCGATGTCAGGCCTCAACTTCAACTTGCATCGGTTTGTACAACACAACCAGGCAAATGATGTTGTTACCACTCGTTGGACATGCAGGAGGATACTGATAGTATCATTTCACAATGTTCGGAAATGAAATCTATCCATTAACAGGTTTGGACTAAGTAAAAATCCAGATTCTATGCTTCTTGGAACAAGTATAAAACTGATCCAGACAGGACTTCCAGTCCGAAGAATTCCAGTCCACTTGAAGTATAGCCGCTTTTGCCGTTATCTTCAGGCCGTAACACTGTGGACTAAAACGTCATCAACACTCAAGTAAGACGGCTTAATATGCGGTTCCTACTGAATTCACTTTTGGGCAAAAAGTTGTATATGTATGACGGCATGCAGAGAACACTCCTAGCAAAAGTAAAAGAGAACTGAAATGAATCGGGAGAAAAGCCACATCTGTGTGCCTTATTATTAAAAAGCGATGTTTCGGTGGGCTTTACCGTTTTTTGAGGATTGGTTCATCATAAATGTTTTAAATTTATTTTTTCACGAGCAGAAATTCCTCGCTCCTCAAAGCAGCTTTGCAACCCCATTAAACTCCGAATGAATAAAGCGCTTTCTTTTGTTTGCTTTATTTTCAGGCCTAGCACTATGACTAACCGGTTAAAACAGTTGCAAGATGGGAAGGCTATTACGATTCACAAATCCTGCATACCATACAGTTGTAGCGAACTGCAAGAGCGGCATGTCCTTCGAGGCCACCGTTAGACGGAGCTAGATCGTGCGTGCATCCTTGCATTGCATCTATTTGCATTACAATAGAGGTCATGCCTGGTTATGAAACCGCCGGTCTGTGAGACGTAGGAAGTGCCGTCTCACTACAGTTCCAACCGCGGCGGGCCGCTTGATGGATATGTTTATCTCCCGGTAAGTCGGGTCAGTCGGCGTTGTCTCCGACACGCCGGGGCCGAGGACTGCCTGGGGCAGGGTGGCCGCCGGGCTGGTGGGACGTGACCAGCGACGAACTGACCCGACGGTGACCTTGTACGTCCGTGACGTAAGCTCCACCCTTCGGAAGTCCGTCACCTGTGTACGTGTTCTGTGTCAATGCCAGCGCTCCAGGCCGCGTACCGCGATAATCGGGCAGGCGGCCGGCGCTCTGTCGGCGGCTGCGACCGACGGCTGGCGGTGCTGGAGCTGATCTCAGCGGCGCTGCCGACTGGTGACGCCACGCACCCAGCTGGGCTGGACCTTGTCCTGTCGTGCAGGCGATGATCGATGAAAAGCAGCGTGCTGATGAGCGATGAAAGCTTAGGTCGGCATCTTTCTCCTGCTGCCGACACCGGCCGTCCGATTAACGAGTTACCGTCGGCGCGCCTTGCCGCCACCATCTATGGCAACCGAGCGTGCCCTCATATGGGGAGGTGTACGTTCCATTCGACCCAATTCGGCGAGATCGGCGCTTCAAACGTCTCGAGGAAATGCCTTGAGCAGCTATACAACGTTCTGTCTGGTCGTGTGCTGAACCAGGCACAGATAAGGACGCCCCAGAGCGCGCTTTCGACTCATGTTACGTGGAATACGTCAGCATCAGGTGAACGGTAATGGCGCTTTAGCTGCAAGCAAGCGTCATAAATGATATTATGACCGCTGGGAGGATGAAATATCAGAGGTTTCTCATTCGTGTCAAAACTGCGATGCAGGCTGCTTTACTTATGGAGATAGCTGTGCTGCAAGATAGGTGTGGAACCTGTCGTCTCGACCTTACGACTGATGTGGCCAGTATGGCAAATGCCACGCATTCTGATAATTGCTGTTGGACGAGCTTCGATAAAAACGTTTTAAGCCTCACCGTGAATGATACATCTAACCTCTGGCAGACAAAAACGGACAGCCAAATCATCTGCGGCGGACAAGCGTGTTAACGGAGAATGAAACGATTGCGTCACTGGGGTCAGCCTATTAATTCCACTCGCTCTTGGGCACCGTACCGGCCGTCGCAGTGACGACCGCCGGTGATGTCCTGCGGTGGATGCCGCGTTCGCCGCAAATGTCTCCGACGCGCCGCGTTTACACCTCTCTGCCGCGCCGCGACCGTGTGGCGTCCGAGAGCTGAGAGCGGGACCGAGTTCTCCGTTCCCAGTCCGACGGAGGCCGACCTGCGTTGCGTGGCAGGACGGCGGCAAGAGGTGGCACGGGTTCGGGAGCCTGTCTGCCCATCGGGACTGAGAGCTATCCTCCAGGCGGCCGGATCGAGGACTGAGGGCGGAGTAGGGCAGGGCTGGGTCTCGCAACAAGCGGCTCCAGTGCTCGGTCTCGGGCGCCGAGCCGGCCGTTTTTACGATCCTTGGAGACGGCCTCGCCGCCGCCGACAACAGCGGTGGCTGTTTTCCTCGCGCCGCATTGTGCCGTCGAGCCCGTGTTTACCGGCTGGTCGTCTCAGCCCGCGCCGCTCCCGTGCTATCTGATGGGTGTCTCGTCCACCGCTCGGCCGGCGCGCGAGCTTGGGTGTCGCGCTCGCTCTGGCGCGGTGGCGCCTGGGTGTCGGATTCACGGCTTGGTTGTCTTGTGTCTCGCACTGGTGCAGCCGTTTTTGACGTGCGCCTGCTGACCACGGCTGTGCGGTTATCGCAGTACAGCAGGTGGAGAAGCAGTCACAGCAGCCTCCATCACAGCGGTCATTGTTTTGTCGTCATTGAGACATTGCCTCACGCATGTTTCTCAGTATTCTCCGCCCCTACACATGGCATTGTTTGGGTGTGCCTCTTTTTTGTGGTGTGCCTCAGGGGCTATTTTGCATCTCTCACGGGTTCCCATAGACATCTGCGCGTTTTAGGTGTTTTCTCGGCACGAACGTTCGATCGTTGTTTGTGAGGTACCGGCTGCTGACTTAAATGGTCCGCACAATCGTCATCTTCGTTGTGATGTCATCACGCCTTAAATATGATCGTTTCATCCCGATGCTGCCATTGCATTGGCGCGCCCCGTGCTTCTCAGTTCCGCATCGTGCCAGTGTTCTCTGACTGCTGCCTGACGAGCCTTTTGCCGAGCCGTCCTTATCACACCGCCCCCACCCGCTCACCTACAAAGGCCGTCTTTGAACCGGCCATGACCAGCGAACCTCGGGGTGCATTCGCTCTAAGGCCAGTGACGCATCCAGCCAGCTGAGTGGTCACTGTCGTGCCTCCCGCGCCACGAACGCCATGAGTGCCGCCTGCCAAGGCCTGCGACGGCGCGGCGCTCTCCGGAGACGAAGTAGGTCGGCAGGGTCAGGGGTGAAGGTCGGGGTCAGCCAGGTCACCCGGGTGGTGGTTACGCCGCGCCGCTCGGCCGCTTATAAATGGTGTGCTCGCGGCCGGTAGGTCAAGCAGAGGAATTACACTTGAAGACCGTGGAAACTGTCATGTAATAGGCGGTGTTTGTGCGAAGGCTGTGTCAGGAGGTGGAGGCAGGTGCAGCATGAGGAGAAGAGGACGGTTGGGTGATTTGATCAGAGAGGAATAATTGTGGTGTTTCCGTGTAAATCATGGGAATAACGAAGAGTCTGAGTGACGACTCCCGACGGGGTGTGATTTTGTGCCCTGATTGGTCGATTTAAGGCACACTATGTCTGGAGCCCAGACATTTTAAAGGCCTCCCATAAATTTGGGGAGAAGTGGCTATAAACGGTTTTACCACACAATTAGCCTGTTTATTGTAGCCTAGTGTCGCGTGCTGTAGGGGCAAGTGGTCATACTTTGTCACCAGTGACGTTCTCGATAAAGCAATGGGCGGATGAAGAAAATGTCAATTACTGTGATACTAGCTAGTCCCGTACACCACATACGTACCACAGTAAAGAGCATTGGATCATGGTATGGGGCTCTTGCTGAAATGTCAGGAAACGGCTCGTGCAGAAACTTCTTCTGAGTAGTGCGAATCAATTCTACTGAATATTCTACATCGCGGTAAAAAGACGCAAACATACTGCGTACGTGATCTAAAAAGTGTGCAAAAGCCTGGTTCTGCAGGCTGTATGTACATGTTTTTACACATGATATGCACACGGCCCATTTGGGCCGGCATCCCTAGCTCCGGCTCACCTCATCGTCGCCTTGTTAAGCAACAGTTCGTTAGAAGCCTCCCGTGTGCTTACCAAACCTTTAGTGTTTTCCGGGGTATCAACACGCTGAGATCCCACATCACTCGACGCCTATCAGGGACAACGTAAGAGCATGTTTTCGTTCTTTGTGCCGCGTAAAGGTCAGGTTTTTACTCCACAATTCGCACTTCAGCTCGAGCACGTGTCGCCCACGGCTGCTGTTTCGCAGTTTCCACTGTCTTACCACGAGCGACAGCGCGTGAAGTGCCTCCAAATAGTGGGTTTTGCGCAACGCCGCAGTCGGAGCGTTGATATCATCTCGTCGGGCGTCACCGGGAAGCTGTCAAGTATGCGTGGTC